TCAACTGAAAACCACACATAATAATTAAGGAGGTTACAGTCTGAGGAGTTAGGTGTCCAGATATAAAGGGTGATCTGGTCACTGAAATTGTCTGAGAGCCATGGATAGTCTCTCCTGTTTGTGTGACATAGCGCAGCGTGCTGTTGTCATACATTGAATCATCCAGCAATCACTCTCTGGACCCAGAGTAGAACTACAAGCCGCTTTATGTAGGCCTCCGTGTTGAGTTAGAGGCCTACATCAAACTATTCTGTTCTTTTGTTATCAGAACGATCATTAGTGAGTTTTCCGAGCTGCCGTATCGTCATATCACAATTAGACTCATCCAACTCTTTCTGAATTCTCAGCATTGTCCTCATATTGATGCCAAATCACTCAGAAATGTTCGTATAGGAGCTTCTGGCGCGAAAGCCAAGCAGAAAAGCAAGCAAAAACAAACAACGCGCATGCGCAAAATTAAGTTACAAAATGGCAACAATTTGACCATACTACCCTTCATATATATATATGTATGTGTGTGTGTGTACGCGCGTGTGCATGTGTGTGTGTATAAAATTAAACGTTTGGCTATGTTTGGTGGTAGGCTGCTCCCACCAACAAATAGTCAAACAAGCATAAAAAGATCCAGTTTAAAAAAAAAAAAGTTTGTCTGATGCTCCCAAAAGCGTGAAACGCAGGCTCACAAACTCATGTCCATACAACTGAATATGTTAGCTCTATCACAGATATTGAGTGCTTTCCACTTTTCTACTGAACATACAAAATCATATATATATATATATATATATATATATATATATGACATCGATGCTTAAATTTTCTATCATGTGTCTCAGAATGTTTCATAAATTGCAACGTTCTGAATATGTATATTAATATAGAATGACATTTGCTTCCAGTGATAAAGACTTACATAGATCGCTTTCGATTTTGTGCTAAATTGAAATGTTAAAATATTTCTGGTTTGAAGAGATCGACTTTGACATTTACTGTTATACTCATTTAGAATAAAATTATATGCCCAATGCTAAATTTATTCTGGTTATATGTATTTTTTTTAATTCTCTTACTAAAAATTTGATGTCAGTCTAGTTTGAATAAGGTAACACAGAACATTCAGAGATGTGAACTGTTTGCCAGTAGATCAGAATCTCTAACTGGTATCTTTCATTCAGATTGCTTTGGACCAATGCTTCTCAACCGCTGTTCCCAGGATACCCTAGGGTTCCATAAGAGGTCGCTAAGGGTTGCACGAGAAACAGTGATAAATAGACTAATGCATTTTTGTCATTTTTTTTAATATCATAAGCGCAGTTTTATTATACACGTACGGTATATTGATGGAAAATCCCTGGTTATTATAAGAAAGTCTTCAACATCTTATATCATTTAAAATTGTAATAATCACGAGAAATGTATTTAACGTTGTCTATATGGCTCGTGGATAGGACATGTACATGTCATATCCGTATATCTTTGAGTGACTCACACAAGTCCAGGATAAATGTGCGGTGTCCATATATTAGGCTTACCACGTGAACTACGATAAAAATATAAGAAATAAATTTAAATAATAGGATATAAGATTTATCCCGATGTTCCCTGGGACATGAAAATTATTTCAATTGTTACACAAGGGTAGAAAATTCGAGAAACGCTGGTTTAAAATATTGGCTTTGATTAAATCATGTTGCATTAACAGCATTGTATATCGTACATATATTTTCATTTTCCTTGGTGATGTTTTGCTCCGTTTTCGTTTTCCCTTTCCCTTTTTAAGTAACCCAGTAAATGTTTTTTTGTTTTTTTTTTCGTGTCTACATTTTGAGATATATTTTTTATCGCTTATTTAATAATTTGAGCTTGGCTCGGAAGTTGACAATAACTGTTTCCTTCCCCAGAAAAAGTTTATAATTTTTGGTATGATGCTGTTATCAATATTTTCTATGATAATTTTAGTATTTCTTTTGATCCTATATATGTTTACAAAGAGTTGTGCTTTTCCTGTATTTCCTATTGAAGAACGCTCCTTATAGTGTCTTGTTTCAATTCCGTAAAAAATGGCAGATAACTATTAAGCATGATATTTAGTGTCTGTCGTATTTAAATGAAAGAAAGATATTCATCATCTTGTTTAATCATGTTATACTCCTATAAATAGATATGCCCCTCAAAAAATCTATTGAAACCAGCCTTGCATATGATATGTATCCCTACCTAGCCCTCACAGCTATGTGTCTCAGTCTCTCTATATATATATATATATATATATATATATATATATATATATATATATATATATATATATTTATATATATATATATGGAGATAGAGAAACGGAGAGAGAGAGAGAGATTGGGTCGAAGGTTGTGCGTTTTACATAGATAGATAGATATGAGAAGATTGAGATAAATAGATATGAGAAGATTGAGATAGATATGAGAAGATTGAGATAGATAGATAGATAGATAGATAGATAGATAGATAGATAGATAGATAGATAGATAAGGAACAGACTTGTTTGGACAAATAGACATGCCACTGTTTAAAAATATGAAAGGAGAAAGAAGTCAGACGTCCTGTCGGATGATGTGTGCAGGTTTCTTATTGAAAATTACAAGAAGTTCGAAATAAAAGCAGAAGATAAACATAAGATGTCGTCTCGTTTGTCTATGGCAGCAGATGTCAACTGACCTGACGGGCACAGTGGACATTCATAACAGCCTCTAATTAGAAAAATGACAACATCCCTGAGGTATTGGATGAAAGAGACCGTCTGATGTCTGATAATTACCCATGATGCACCAACCTATGCCGTTCACTATTCTTAGATTCGTTTCTTCCTTTGTTGGCGGCGCGGTGGCATCGGTCGCCATCTTGTCCACGAGAGGCCCTTAGCTCTCTCTTACCAGGAGTTTTTCATTCTGTATCTTCCTCATATACGCGCTTTACCTTCACAACCCACACTTCTACCAATACCAGCCTTTTCTATCTACTTGTCTTCTATGCGTAGTTCCTAAGGTCATTTCCAGTCCTCCATCCCAACACTTCTTTGTCGTCCTACCTCTGCCGTTGTCGTCGTCTTGCTTGGCCTTTAAACCTACATAGTCTTCTCTCTCTATCTTTTCTCTTTATCTGTGGCTATATGCGTTTTCTTTTCTCTCGTCGCTGCAATTCCAATTCTCGATTTACCCGCCTCCTCGCCCCAGGGAACGTGTACACCGGACAGATCGATAAATATGTACTCGACCTAGCAAAGAAAGAAAGAAAATTAGAAGACGTCAAAATAGAAAGGTAGAACATGAGAAGAAGCCAAATAAGTAGAAGATGGAAGCATGTAAAGAGAAAGAAGATACAGCACCGATGGAGACTTGGAAGAAAGAAAGAACAAAAGAAAGAAAGAAAGAATGAAGGAACAAAAGAAAGAAAGAAAGAATGAAGGAACAAAAGAAAGAAAGAAAGAAAGAAAGAAAGAAAGAAAGAAAGAAAGACAACTAAAAAGTGAAAGTGAAAAGGAGAGGAGAATCTGTCAAAAAATTAAAGATCAACGCAAGGAATCGAAAAAAAAAAAAAAAAAAAAATAAATCAATGAAAGAAGGAAAGAATGAAGGACGAGAAATGAAAAAAGTTAAGCAGATGTGAACAACAAAAAGAAAGAAAGAAAGATCCTTAAAAGTCAGAAAAATATAAGGGAAGAGAATATAAATAAAAATGTAAGAAGATAAATATAAAGAAAGACGAAAAGAAATTTGTATAAAATTAAAAAGAAAGAAAGAAAGAAAGAAAAGAAAGAAAAAAGAAAGGGAAAAGAAAACAAATTTGCATAAAATTAAAGAGCATAAATCAAAGAAAGAAAGAAGGGGAAAAGAAAACAATTTGAATAAAATTAATGAGCATAAATCAAAGAAAGAAAGAAAGAAAGAAAGAAAGAAAGAAAGAAAGAAAGAATAAAAGAAAGAATAAAAGAAAGAAAGAAACAAGAAGAACAAGAAAGAAAGAAAGAACGAAAGGGAAAAGAAAACTTTTAAATAAAATTAAAGAGCATAAATCAAAGAAAGAAAGAATGAAAGAAAGAAAGGAAGAAAGAAAGAAAGAAAGAAAGAAAGAAGAAAAGCAAGAAAGAAAGGGAAAAGAAAACAATTTGAAAAAAATTAAAGAGCATAAATTAAAGAAAGAAAGAAAGAAAGGAAGAAAGAAAGGAAGGAAGAAAGAAAGAAAGAAGAAAAGCAAGAAAGAAAAGGAAAAGAAAACAATTTGAATAAAATTAAAGAGCATAAATCAAAGAAAGAAAGAAAGAAAGAAAGAAAAAGCAAGAAAAAAGCAAGAAAAAAGAAAGGGAAAAGAAAACAAATTGAATGAAATTAAAGAGCATAAATCAAAGAAAGAAAGAAAGAAAGAAATAAAGAAAGAAAGAAAGAAAGAAAGAAAGAAAAGAAACAAAAAAGAAAGGGAAAAGAAAACAAATTTGCATAAAATTAAAAAGCAAAGAAAGAAAGAAGGGGAAAAGAAAACAATTTGAATAAAATTAATGATCATAAATCAAAGAAAGAAAGAAAGAAAGAAAGAAAGAAAGAAAGAAAGAAAGAAAGGGAAAAGAAAACAATTGGAATAAAATTAAAGAGCATAAATCAAAAAAAGAAAGAAAGGAAAGAAGAAAGAAAGAAAGAAGAAAAACAAGAAAGAAAGAGAAAAGAAAACAATTTGAATAAAATTAAAGAGCATAAATCAAAGAAAGAAAAAGAGAAAGAAAGAAAAAAGAATGAAAGAAAGAAAGAAAGAAGAAAAGCAAGAAAAATGAAAGGGAAAAGAAAACAAATTGAATAAAATTAAAGAGCATAAATCAAAGAAAGAAAGAAAGAAAGAAAGAAAGAAAGAAAGAAAGAAGAAAAGCAAGAAAAATGAAAGGGAAAAGAAAACAAATTGAATAAAATTAAAGAGCATAAATCAAAGAAAGAAAGAAAGAAAGAAAGAAACGGATTGTGATCTAAGAAAGTTCATATTCAAAGAAAGAAAGGAAGAAGTGAGAAAAAAAGAGAAAATGAAAAGAGGAAGAAAAAGAGTGAAAGCAATAAAGAAAAAAAATAGAGTGTGTTAAAGAAGAAACATAAAATAAAATCAAAAAGGAAAACTAAAAAAGAAAAACAGTATTCGCAAATAGGGAAGAGAGAGAGAGAGAGAGAGAGAGAGAGAGAGAGAGAGTGGATGATAGAGAGAAATAAAAACTATTTAAAAACAAAGCAAAATAAAGAAGAAAAAGAGAAGGACTAGAAAGTAGGAACGCGAAGAAAACAAACGAAAGAAAAAAAGAAAGAAATAAAAAGAGAAGGAAAACACTTTGTGTAAAAAAAAAAAAAAAGATATAGCAAAAAAAGGAGACAAGGAAATAATAGATTTGATAAGAAGAGAAATAAAACGAAAGCAAGTTACGGAAAAGAACGAAGAAATGAAAGACAAAAGCGAGATCCTGGTGGTAAAGATGGGGAAAGAAGAGAAAAGAAAGAGAACAAATAGAAAGTGAAATATAGTAAAGAATCAGAGAGAAAGGGAGAGAGAGACAGAGAGAGAGAGAGAGAGAAAGGCTGATGAAAAGGGCTTAGAAATACTGGGAAAAGGGAAGAGCGTAGCCCGAAATGCACTGAGACAGAGAAGAGAAATAGAGGGAAAAGAAGAGGATGTGTAGGAGAAGTATATGGAATGAGGGTGTAGGAGTGAAGATATAGAGGGAGAGAGAGAGATAAGAAGTTGAAAGAAAAGGAATAGAATAACTGGAAAAAAAGAGGAAGAAGAAAAATGATGTAGTAAAAAGAAAGAGGAAGAAAAGCAAAAGAAATAAGGAGGGAAAGAACAGATTGATAACAACGGAAAGAAAATGAAGAAAGGAAGGGAGAAATAGAAGAACGACAAGGAAAAGCAAAGCAGGAAGAAAATAAAAGATAGCAAATAAAATTAAAAAAATGCAAAGAACAGGAAGATTAGGCAACAATGGCGATGTTAAAGAAAAGAAAAGAAAAAAAAAAGGAAGGAAACAAACAGAGAAGAGGGCGAAATGAAAGAAAACTGAGGGAAGAAAGACCAGGTAAAGGAAAACCTGAGAATAAATGAAGACCGAAAAAGAAAAACAACAGAAACAGGCAAGAGAAAATAGAGGAAGAGGAATGTGAGAAGTGGTCAAATAGAAAGAAGGAAAACAAAAGAAAAGAAAAGAGATGGAGAAAGACTAAAATAAGGTAGCGAATATAAGAAAGAAAGAAAAGCAAAATATAGTTTACACAATAAAAGAGGTAAAGGGAAAGAAAGGAAGAAAGAAAAAATGTCAGAAAGACAATGGACGAAAGAATGAAATAAGGTAGCGAAGATGGAAATGAAAGAAAGAAAGAAAGAAAGAAGGAATAAAAGGAGGTAAAAAGACGGCGAAGAAAGAAAGATAAACAGAAAGAAATATAGCGGAATAAGCGGTTACAAGCGAAGAAAGTTGAAGATAGACGAATTTGTATTTAGAAGAGGAAGAAGTCAAATAGCAAAAAAAAGGAGGCAAGATGGAAGATGAGGCACTGGAAGGCACAAGAAAGAAAGAAAGAAAGAAAGAAGAAGAAGAAGAAGAAGAAGAAGAAGAAAGAAAGGAAGTAATAATAAGTGATAAAAATTTGGGTCGGGTGAGAAAATATACACGTTTTATAAACTCCTTCATGCAGTCTGCGCTGCCAGACTCCATAGCTAGTAATATAAATGCCGGTATAAGAATATATTCACGGACACGCCCCTTAAATTAGCACACAAATTAGCACACACGACTTACACACATACATACTAAACACACACACACCATACTGATTTCTACACAAGCGTGCACATCAATGCGACGCGCGAAACAAAAGTTCAGCGAAATGAAATCACGAAGTTGCTGCTTCAGTGAGCCACAAAACTGTTAAAATAAATAAGATTCTTTATTTCATGGTGATTTCAAGAGATGAGTTAAATATCCAGTGAGACTCGGAAAACGCGTGACAGATTAATACTTTGAACAATATGAATGTCCATAAGACAATATGATAAGCGCAATACAAGCCCAGAAATAAGAATTAGTAACACATGTTTATGTTTGCAACGAAGACTTTGAATCCCGATTTTCATCCTAGGCAGGTCCTACTTACTGAAAAAAGAATGGCAAGTTACAATCAGTCGTCTTACATTTAACGTTGGGCCGCACACTGTTTAGCAAAGTAAGGTTAACTATTGACAGACTAGCGACTGCAGATACATCACCCAAATTGCACAAAGAATTATTCAGTGTCCAGAGTTGCAGATGTTCGTGACAAAATCGTGTAAACAAAGTTAGTTTGGTTTCGTTTATTTTCTTTTACGGCATATCAACCTCAATGGGTTAATTAATGGCGACAAGATTTTTAGGATAGATTTGTATGAATAGAATATGTATTCTTTGATTTAGATTGGTTTGGTTTATTTTCTTTTACGGCATATCAACCTCAATGGGTTATTTAATGCCGACAACATTTTTAGGATAGATTTGTATGAATAGAATATGTATTCTTTGGTTTAGATTGGTTTGGTTTATTTTCTTTTACGGCATATCAACCTCAATGGGTTATTTAATGCTGACAACATTTTTTTATTGCTGGTAATATTTTGTTTTGTCAAAAATCTGTTTCTGGTAATATTTTTTCAAAAAAGTATTGCTGGTAATAGTTAACTATTTGCCCATAGATGGGGCCCTAAGAGGTGCTACCAACCTGGGTCAGGGTGGACCTGGGAACACCAGCAATTAAGAAGTGGTTCTACGCTCCTCAAAACCTCCTGATCAGAGGCCTTGCAGCTGGATGTAGTTTATCGTCTTACCCAGGACGCGGATGTAGCTTAACGTCCTACCCAGGACGTGTAAACAAAGTTAGATTTGCATTTACATTACCACCTCAGTTTAAAAAAGAAAATAGGGAAAATTGTACGTTAAACCGACAGATTTTAAATCCGATAAATTTAGATTTAGTAAAAAGCAATAAATATTGTAAATCAGGAAAATTAATAAAAATAGTTTTAGTAAATGCATTTATTAAACAGATAAATAATCATATCAGTTTTTACGGGTACTATGTTAATATGATTGTTGGGACTGGCCATTAAAATCTAGTTGAGGTTTTCGATACCTGTTTCGATTGATGAGTCGTTTTTTTTTTTTCTTTTTGTCAATTTTTCATCCTTGGAGTAGCAAACATGAAAAAGCTGTATCAAAATAATCATTTGATATTCTCTCTCTTAAAAGTACGGAGACAGACACAAACGCAAACATATTCACACACACACACACACACACACACACACACACACACACACACACACACACACACACACACACACACACACACACGGTTACTGAGTAGGTTTTGTTATTTATAGTGAAATCGGTCTTTAAAAATATCGAAAAGATTTTTAATTTCCAACTAGCTTTATAGCTAGCAAGAGTGACATGTACCTAGTAACTTAACACGGGTTAGGTGAATATTTTTTCCTAGTATTTAACTTGTTCTTGTTTTGAAGTAGCATTGTCACCAGCGATGTTATCATACTATTCAAAATTACAAATGTGGAAAGTTAAAAATCATCTGAAAAAGCACTAATAAAACATATATATATATATATATATATATAAATATATATATATATATATATATATATATATATATATATATATATATATATACAGATTTCATATATATATATATATATATATATATATAATTTATTCTTTACATAAATTGCTAAAACCCAACTACAGCCTCTTTCTCGTTACTTCCCTCTTCTTTTTCCTTTTTCTTTTCTCCCTTCTCCCCTCCCATTTCAATATATCACTACCGTTAAGTTAACCGTCTAAATAGTCAAGGTCTGGTCACTCCTCCTCCCCCAATACAAAGTATGCTTGAGAGAGATATGGAATTAATCCCTCCCTATACTCTGCCATGACTCTTTAACTACCCCTTTTACACTCTCTGTTAAATTAGAAAAACTTACACTACAAATCAATTTTAATTTCATTGTTCGTTTCAATTTTGGAAGTGCTATCTGATGATCCGGCGTTCTTTAAAAGGGCTCTGGTGAAATAAATTATTATAATGATACCTTAAAGTGGTCTGTTTTTCTTTTAAATATTAGCTCTGGATTTACATTGATCTCTCAGGATTTCATCCTCCTTGGGATTACCCATACGGATTACCAAGTTCTTCATATCTCTCTCTCTCTCTCTCTCTCTCTCTCTCTCTATATATATATATATATATATATATATATATATATATATATATATAGAGAGAGAGAGAGAGAGAGAACTTTCACATCATGTTGAAATACCGGTTCATGTGTCAAAAGTTAAGCAATGAGGAGACTGGTTTGTACCTCGATAGATGACCACTTTGGGCCACCAGCTGCTGTAAGCTTGGATGTGCGCTCTGTTTAATGTGTAATGGATAATGATTCAGCATTGTTAATCTGAAGCCCGAGTTCTAATTCCTGTTGGGTTCCTTATATTCCATAACGAGCAAATTCCCTTGGAAAAGGTATGATTCCAATTATTCTCCCTCCAGTTATAAGTTAGTAAGAATTGCATCATTAAAACCCTTATGATCTCAAAATAAATTCTTAGAATCTAAGAATACTTTCTGGCTTTAAATAAACTACAACGAATCAAACAATCAATCAAGCAAAAATGATGAGAATCCTAATCATAAAATTTGTAGAATAATGATATTAAGAAGAAAAAGAAAAATACTGCAGACGTGAGCGTCTGGTGTTAAATAGCGAATTGAATTCACAAAACAGAATACCAGTCATACACACTTTGGCTGTCCTTGCAATGCAATAGTTTTAACATCTTTAACTGGACAATAGCTCATATTAATCGAATGGATGTCAAAACAAGAAAGCTTCTCACTTTCTACCGCATGCATCATCATAAAGTTGATGTTGATCGTCTGTATGTGCCCAGATCCGAAGGAGACAGAGGATCAGTTCAACCAGAACTGCCTTACAAAACCAAAACAATAAGTCTTCAACGATAACTGGAAACTACAGAAAACTGGATGTTAAACTCTGGCAAAGAATATGAAAGAAATAGGAAATTTTATTTAATAATACAGGAAGCCAACAAATTCAAAATGGAATTTCAAGTTCTTTAGAGAAGTGCATATAGACCATTCTATAACTACTGCAGCGGCAAAGAACCTTAAAAAAGAAAGCAAACGCAATATACCAAATGCAGAAACGATGGCAAGATAAGTCTCTTCCTGTACAATACTCTTCCCGTACCAAACAAGCTGATGTAGACAGACCCCGTACCCGTCAGTGGTTATATAGTGAAGTGTTAAAAGCTGAAACTGAAAGTTTTATTTTTGCTGTACAGAACCAAAGCTTGCTAACAAGATATTACCAAGAACACACTGAAAAATTGTTTTAACCCGAAATGCAGATTCTGTGATAAATGTCCAGGAACAGTTGATAATCTTGTATCATGTTGCACGGTGTTAGAACCCAATGAATATAAAACTCGGCATGACACAGTGGAACAATATAGACACTGGAAAATATGCAACTTTTACGGGAAGGAAACTGCAAGAGACTGGTATGAACATCACCCAGACCCGGTTACAGAGATAGAATCTGTAACAATTTTATGGGACTTTACATGCAAACAGAACAATCAAAGCTGATCGGCAAGACATCATGATCAAAGACCACAAGAACAGAATGTGCTTTCTTATTGACATGGTATTCCATGTAGATTGTAATGCATCTTTGAAGACAATGATCTTTTGAAATACAAGATTCTTGAAGTGTCACATGAGAACATCACCAAATCCAGTTGTAGTTGAAGCTCTCGGATTGACTGGAAAAGGTTCCGATAGACTCATTGAAGGGGATCCTTGTGGATCAAAAAATGGTGTTCACAAGTACAGTCCACACATTACGAAGAGATTTATCTTAGTTTGCTTTTGGTTTGGCAAAAAATGCTTAGTGGAAAATGTTAATTTCTGACCTTAGGTCTCTGGTTGGGACCCGGAAGGAAATGGGTATACAATAGAAATCAAAGGAAATAATAATAATAATAATAATAATAATAATAATAATAATAATAACTAGACGTACTCGTGGAAACTGCACGCTTTTACTGTTTTTCATTGAAAATCATAATTTTGTGGTCGCCTAACAACATGGAATTTAAAAATGTAAAATCAGCTTTTTATAGCACACTTATAATTATATCTCCTTGATATTTTGACAATTTGGTTTAGTTTGGTTTGTTTTATGGCATATCAACCTCAATTGGTTAATTAATGCCGACAAGATCTTTATTACCGGTAATATATTTTTCCAAAAATGCATTGCTGGTAATATTTCTCCTTTAAAAATGTGTTGCTGGTAATATTTTTCCTTCAAAAATGTATTGCTGGTAATAATTTTTCCTTCAAAATATTTCTTGTTGGTATTAAAACCTATTTTTACACTTTCATAGTGTTTTAACACCAGTATAGAGGTTAACTATTTGCTCATAATTGGAACAGTAACAAGTGCTACCACTCCGGGTCAGGGTGGACCTGGGGACACCCGCAATTAAGAAGTACTTCCACGCTCTTTATAACCTCTTGATCAGAGGCCTTGCTGTTGGACGTAGTTTATCGACTTACCCAGGATGTCGTATGTAGTTTATGG